CCCGAGCTTCGCCTGGAGAATCGCTGTAGTCTTGGCCACACAACCTCTCCAGTTGCTCTCATTGGCTTCGAGTTTGAACTCATGACACTTGAGCAGCCCATCAATGGCTTCTTTGCACTCTTTGTCTATGGAGTTACAGTTCAGAAGACCCATTATCTCTTCAGGTCTGGTTCCATGGAAAATCGGAATCAAGTTCTTCTTCTGGGCAAAGAATCTAACTTCTTCCAGGCTGAGGTAGTTGAGCAGGCTTGAACAAGACACGACCACAATCCCAAACGTGACTGAGCAGATAACTCTGTCAGCGATCTCATGGCTCTGTGTGTCCGAATACTTAGCTCTGTCAGCCACAAAACAGGCAATCCCCTGAAGCTCAAGCTCTGACTTAAGCCACTTGCAGAACCTCACCAAGTTAGGATTTTGCCCGTGGAACCCTATGAAAACATCGCAGCTCCTGAGCTTGGCATTGGTAGCAGGAGAAGAAACAGAGACTTTTGCGAAGGAGACCCTCGGAACTGGAAACGAGAACGAGATCCTCGGAGGAGCAGGATCCGAAGCACAAGCTGAAAACTTGAGTTTCCGGTCAACCGGGTCATCGGACAACTCATACTGGTCGGAGGGAGGAGTGTATGAGCTGCTTGGTATGTCTTCATACTCTAAGCTTTTGTAAGAGACAGGAGGTGACGGCTCAGCCTCTGCAGCGGCTGTAAGACTGTCGTGGGGCTTATGGACAGTGGCTGGGGCGGGTGGTGTGGCTCTAGGAGATATATAAGGTGATTGTAAAGCGGAAACAAAAGCAGATGATGGTGGTGACACAAGAGAAGGGGAGTTGCAAGGTGAGTTCTTTATGCTTGGAGACGAATCTGAAGCATTATAACAAGTGCCATTTGTCTGAAGATCTTTACCTGTCTTATTGCTTGATGAGTTTGCTGGTGATATTCTTATGGTAAGTCCAACTAAACTTGCTTCTTCTCTCCCCATTTCTTTAGGAGGCTCTCTCTCTCTTTCATGAAGCTATCAGCTCAACAGCCAAAGGTAGTAAAATCCCATCTCTCTCTCTCTCTAACTTCGTCCGAATTATTGTTGTCTTCTCTGACAGGTTATAGTGAAGTGGGTGGGACTGTTGTAATGGTCAGAAAATGAATGCAACAGTTAGTGATGTTCAAAGACAAGGGAGGAAAATCTGAAAATATGCATGTGATGTATCTAACTCCTCCATTTTGCGGGGTCCTCCTCTTACACTGTTGTTGATTCAGTAACCCACAATGAAAAAATCAATTGTTTTATTACTCATCTTTCTCCTTTCCTCTTCTGATTTCAGATTTGACCAAGTTGACTCTCAAGCTTCAGCTCTGCAGCATATGGAGGACATGAGTGAGAGAGAAGTTCATCACAGTATCCTTCAAAACGAGAGTATCATGGCATTTGCTGAACTGGGAAGAACAAAACCTTCCAACAATGAGTCGTGTTCATTCCAAGGTTGATCCTTTCTGATTCGAATCGAATCTCAGAGAGAAAAAGCAATGAACAAGAAAAAGGATAAAGATTGGTCAAATCTAAAAGATTGGAGTTCAAAGTTCAGAACCTACCCTTTGGGTTTCTTTCTTTTCCTTCGGACTTTCAGACACAGAAGCAACGACTTGTCACTTCATTAGTATTTCTCTTACAGCCCATCTCTCTCTCTCTCTCTCTCTCTCTCTTCGATGCTGTCTCTTCAAACGAGAAGAGGTTTTGCAGGTTAGGGGGGAAGGGAATCTCGTTGTGACAATTGGATCTGCGGTGCTTTGGAGATTATAAAAATAGTGATTAAAGAAATGCTTAAAACAGTGTATCCTATGCATTTTTATAATCAACCTTGTTCAGTTTTATTATCTCTGAATTATTCAATATTTTTTTTATAGAAAGATTCGAACTTTAAAAGATGTAACCACAAGTGTTTTGTAAATTAATAAAGATGGGTTATAATAACTATGAGGGCGGAGTCATGTCATATAGGTTTTGTAGGGAGGTTTTGTCAGAAGAAATAGTTCAGTGTGAAGTCAAAAAGGGAGACATTGGAGAAAGGGAACCATTGAGCTCAGGTCCTTGGTCTTTTTGTTGTTTGTTGTTAGCGACTCTTGCGATAATGCATATGAATACAAAAGTTCCATATATATATATATATATGTATACTGAAATAATTTACTCATTATGCATAAAAAAACTGCAAATAATTCAACATTATGCGAAAAGGACAAGGAAAATCTAAACTTTCAAAACAACTTAGACCTGTGTAAAAATATGTCTTCAAGTGTTGGAATGAATACCCAGGGGCGTTAACCATCGAATTTTTCCTATTTTAATTATTTTAACAAGCTTTATAAAGTTTAAAAAATCTGATACAGTAATGAAATAAGACAATAATAAATAAATAATCAATTATACGTTGCATTGATTGATGTGTACACTGACAATATTTTGAATCTCATTTGCAGTTGGGAATTGGTCCAATGACCAGTCTGACTCACCCACTCACTCTCGCAGTAATTTCAAAATGATAATATGTGTGTTATATATACAATATCCCATTTAAGTTGTAAAATTGTTTTAATTTTATTTGATATAAAGTATGAAATCAGATATGTAAGATCATTATGTAACGTGTCCAAATGATTTTTTAAAGTTTGATACATAGTACCTAGTGCATATATATTTTGTCATCACGAGTTTGATTATTTTTTTTATCAGGAAATATATTATTTTCCATAGAATATCTTACGATTTTTCCTGCAACTGACCATACGTTTTTTGTCCATACCTTTTAGACCCCAAATATTTATATGATCGGGGTGTGCGAGTGGTGCGCACACATATTAACAAAGGAAACAAAAAGAGAGTAAACTCAATGACAATTGTGAAGAAAACCCAATAAGACCAATTGATGAATACCCAAAAACCAAAGTCACTATATTCTTTAACAAAGGAAAAAAGAAAGAGTAAATAACTATGATAGATCACGTAGCGTACTTCTGCGTCCATGAACGAGCCGTGGCTTCGTACTTGGCTCGGTCAATCTTGTAAATGTGAGCAATCTCCGGAACTAGAGGATCATCTGGGTTCGGATCCGTCAGCAACGAGCATATCGACAGCAGAACCTGCAAACCACGTTCAACGAATTAAAACCAATCATCATCATCATCATCATCTGGGTTTGGATCCACGCCTTGCGCCTGTTCGTTCGGAACAAACAGACAAGATGAGAACAGAATGAGCGGAAGGCGAAAGCAAAATAATCTAATCACCTTGGATATGGAGAGAGCAGGACTCCAATGGTTATTCAGGATGTCGAGACAGATGTTTCCACTGCTGTTGATGTTCGGGTGGTAAACCTTTGTATGAAACAAAACCTACAAACCAAATAGAATCCCGTGTGGGTGATTGCACATCACGAAAACAAAGATAAGGGTCCATATATATATATATATATGCAGGCTGCTTCATCAACAGGGTACATAAATTAAAGAACACAACACCAATAAGATTGACAGGGAAGGGATGATGAGAGGAGGAATAATTTACCTTGGGTGCCCTGAATGGGTAATCAGGAGGAAAGCGAATGGACACCGTGAACACACCCCCTGCGTATGGACTATCTGTTGGCCCCATTATAGTTCCTTGCCAGTAGAACACGTCATCACCCACGGGACCTTCATGACATTACCAAGGTACTGCTCAGTCAGTCAAGTGGCACTATTCAAACCCAAACTTCTGATACATCTGTGTGTGTGTGTGTATATTATACATATAGTGTGGTAATTGTACAACAAACTCGAGTGGTGCTTTGAAACGGAGAATTCGTGGATCGAAATAGACAGCGGAAGGAACAACTCACCGGCACTGCATGACGCCGGAGGATCCTGTTCAAGTTCCTTGATCTCCTTGCTAATCCTTCTGAAAGCCATAACGTGATTGGGTCCTTGTTGCTGCTAATAAGAGAATTACCAACAATCAATATGCAACCTGACTAAGAAATTCCGCAACAAAAGACTAATTTATAAATTCACCACAATACAACCCCTGCAAAATAATAACTTATTTACAAGATCACAGGTATAAATTAGATCGATATCTATGTTCTGTATAAACTATATTCCAAGGAAGATTTCAGCAAAAAAAAAAAGGAAGGTAAAATTGAAAAACTCGTCCTAATAACTGATATAATAATCTGATCAGATGCTACATCGTGAAGGTAAACAGTCACCTGGAGAAACCGATCACACAAATTCTCGGAACCGAGTCAAACTTCCGACAACCTAAGTAGGGTTTTTTTTAAAAAGAGACAAATTACATAAAAAGAAGAGAGAAAAAAAAGAGCCAAACAGAGCATCCGATCCGACAAGCAAGCGAGCATAACTATCATCAGAGAAAACAGAAGCAGATAATCGTTATCATACAGCCACAAGCTCTTCGAATACAAATTTTCAAGTAAACCTAATGAACAAAGCCAAGAAGCATGGGGTCAATCAAGCAACAGCGGAATACAACCCAAAAAAAACATGATCGGAGGCTAAACAGGGGAAAGAGAGACAAGATCAACGATGAAATCAAGGTAAGAGTTCATACAACTACGGCTTCTTCTCAGCTGATTTACCTTCTTTTTTTTTTTCCGGTGGGTTTCGTCGTCTAGGGTTTTGTTTGATCTTCCGCGAAAATATCAAACGAAGTTGGGTAAGGCCGCTCTTAAATAGATTCCTCTTGGCGGTGAAGAGGTGCCACGTCACGAGTTTACACAACGGCCACAACACAATTAGGTCTAATTTAATAAGGCCCATTGGGCCTTTTCGTGACTATATGGTTACTTGCACATGTATACACATTACATATATATATATATATGTTTGTGCTTGGATTCACATGAACTAGTGACAATTACGATATTATAATATAATTGACGGGGTTACAAAAGAATATAATTACAACTAATGTGTTTGGTGTTAATAGATTATTTATTTATTTTTCTTAGGAGGTAAAAAAAAATCAGAGAAAAGAATCAACTAACAATTAAATTTTTTTATCCCGATGCCTAAAACTATAGATAACTAAAGATACAGAAGATCATTTAGTTGATGCTTTGTATGCAAATACAATTTAAAAGGACGTCTCAAAAGGACCATATAACAACGTTGTACCAAAGTTGGCTAACCAAACACGGCTTATAAAATAAAAAAAAAGAATAACCAAGTTTCATAATCACAAATAAATAAAAAAATAAATAAAAACAAGCCCAAAGTCTCGGGACAAGCCAGACGCATTCCCCTCTGCCTGCCTATAGCCCCAGTCGTATAATCTTCTCCATGACAAACCGATAATAAGCAACATATGTCGTATATGACAAATTTTATTCGAGGGACAAGACAAGAGGCGGTACCTGCAGACCGAGAGAGAGAGAGTGGAAAGCATTCACTTGGAAAGCTCTGCGAATGCATACCCCTTTTTCGAAAGGCCAGAGAGTGAGAGAGCAAGAACTTATCCCCTGGTCTTGGCTCTCTTCATGCCGAGGCTGTTGTAAGGAGAGACCGAACCAGACATTGGAGACCCTTCCTCCCTCAGAGTTCCATTGAGCAAAGCCAACTCTCTGAGCTGCTGTTTCTTGTAGAAATCATGGGTTTCTTCCTAAAATTTGGACAACAGATTGAAGGAGAGGTTAGATTTCATGTATTGTTAAAAGCATCCGGTAAGAGAGGGAACAGGTTAAACGAACCATGGGAGTAAGCAAATCTTCTAAGATTTCACGAGCTTGCATGAGACGTGCATCCACAATCTCGATGGGTAGCTCTGCCTCGACTAAGATATGGAGTGGCTCATTCAGGTGTTCATACCCCGGCTTTCCTCTCATCATTTCCTCCTGCAAGAACGACATGTTTCGGTTTTTAAGTCAAGATAGAAAATAAGCACTGCTTTCCAGCAGCTAATGCTTAGAAATTGTCTCAAAATGGATTGAGATGACAGATACCTTGATTGGATCCTTAATGCTGCCTCTCCCCCTTATCAGGACACGACAATCAGTACTTGCTTCAACTCGTTTGATAGAGTTTCCTCTAGGACCCAGGAGGCGGCCGACAAAATTGTACTGCAACAACATCAAACTAGAGTTATATGCCGGGTAAGCATAATCTACGGGGACAGCAAGAAGAGGAGCATGCATGTACATTTGGGTACTGTTCAACCGGAATATCCACCCTGATTGCTCGCTTAACAATGAGACCCGACGAGCTACCAGGAGAGTTTAGCCAATTTGGTGCTGGTGATGATGAGACAGATCTCTGCAAATGATCAATCAGGACACTGTTGTTAGAAGCCACATCACTTTTTACGCATAAGGTCAGGACATATACTTGCAGCATCAATGGCAACAGAATACTGAAAAGATTAGTCTCTTCCACCAAAACTTGCAATGTGGATCGAGGCATTATCATCTGTAATAACTATCCTAATATTCATAGAGTGGTTACAATGATACGGTCATGTGTTCTTGCAAGCACTGCATCACTTTTACAAGTCAACACTTCACAGCTGCATCTAACATCGATATAACTCCTGCTGGTTACGGAGTATCTGGTTAGTATTGACCTAAGATAAGACCATGTACAACATTACTGTTATTCGTTGTTAGCCCTGGCTACCTGTCATGACGAACTACGATTAAAAACAGTCAAACAAGTTATGTCAGCATAAGTTAAGTCAATAAAGCTTCTATTGCAACAATATGAATTAGATGGAAATAATTTATGTTAATGGTTAGTAGTCATACTTCTGATTGAAATGGTGAAGTCCATCCGTTCACGTCAGCTCTTGCATTTTGAAATATCCCTCCAGAAGACAGAGGGCTAGGGTGGTCAAGCCCAGTCTGACTTAAAACTGAGGCATTCTCCAACAGTGTGGTTACACGCAAAATTTCTGTTCCAAAAATGTCAATTTTCAAAGTAAGATGTACCGGTTAGAATTAGTCAACAAATCAGTTACCAATGGCCACTGCATGAAGAGAGAACATAGTTATCCGAGTTAGTAAAGAATCAACGTTCTGCTCTTACCCTAGTTAAATAGAATGTAACAGAATGATAAAACAAGGAGAACATCCAGTTCTGCTCAAATTAATAGCTTGTATGATCTCTTAGAGGGTCATACAAGTTCATTCTAATCAGTTAAACCTCGCATGGAACATCCACGAGGAAGGACACGACAAACAGAAGTCAGTATATGATTTCAAAAAGAAGGGATTTGAAGTAAAATGCTAAATTACAGGATCTGAAAACCAAAGTACAACCAAAAGATATGTCTTCTTCACAGTCTCTCTAAACTCTCAACTATTTTAAAGGTTACAATACCAACATGCATTTATCGAACATATCTCAAGTACAACGTGCTTTAGGGAAGGATATATTATGTGTTCATCTGTTTGTCTCTCGAACTGTGGTCTCTCTTTTTTCACCACAGTTTAAGGAACCCAACAGCTGCCAATAAACTCTTTTATTTATCCTTCAAGACACTATCTCTACATGATCTAGTTTTAAATTCTAATAAGTCATTGTACTTTTGCAGAAAAAGAATAATTGTGTATGTTGTTCATCCACTTCTCGGAGGCATCACTTAGTGTTTATCAATTGTATGAGCATTGTAATTCCGAAGCAAGGAATGAAAATTCTAGAAGATCTTTAGAAAGAAAACTTGAAAAACAATAATGTTTTTTGCTCACTGCTAAAGTGAGATGCTTGACCTCTTTTGTATTTTGGCATTGTTAAAATTTGGGACTAGGGGTTAGGTTAAAGGTTAATCATACAACCAACCAACAATTCAGATTGAACAATGTCTTAGCAGAAAGGCTCACCCTGGTTCAGCAACCGATAGGCATGTGGAAGAACAGGCAAGAATGGACTGAGCTTGTTACGCTCTGCTAGCAACTCTGAAAGATACCTGACAACGGTGAAAGTGAAAATTATCCAAATCAGTATACCCCCAAGCCCAAAATAAACTTCCCACAGAATCGACTCAAGAAGCTCAACATGGTTAAACAATGAACACTAGTGTTATCTATTTCAATTAGATTCAACCTTCCAATTTCAAACCTTAATCATTTTGATTAGATTAAACTACCCATTTTCTTAGGCATTTCGTCATCCAAGCATCAGCACCCGGGTATCAAGGCAACTTCTTTTGGTGAGATGGATCTAATAGATTCCCTAAAAATGAAACTTTTACAGATTCATGAAGATAAGCCAACAATAAAAGGATGGACAAAACCAATGATTCTGCAACATCTTAGGACACAGCCAATCCGATGCTTAATTGGCAGAAACGAACTGGGTAGAAGCAGAATTGAAGTAGATTGAACCTTAGAGAAATCTGAACTAAAAAACGCAAAGGTAGGAGCTGAAACACAAAAATCGGAATCCGATCACAGCATCAACATAGAAATACGGATCCTAGCATACAGAAAACAAACCCAGAAGAAAAACCGACCAAAAAAAACATCCAGATTTGTCAGGAACGTGAAGATCTCAGAAAACAAAGCAGTAAACAAAGATCGGCAGCTATCAGAAGATACAACTAACAGTAAGACACAGAAGAACAAACCAAGGTTTTAATTACTTCTCCTGCTCAACGAGGACCGAGGGCTGTGATCGAAGACCACAGGAGATGTTAGGCGACTGAGGAGCAGACGGAGCCACCGACGGAGACGGAGAGTACGCCATAAACCTACCGCCGGAACCACCGCCACCAGCACCACCTCCACCTCCTCCGCATCCGAGTGACGTCATCATCATCATCTCGACGGCCTCTACCTCCGCAACAACTTCACCAGCGAATCCCCACGGTTCGTCAAAAGAACCAGCCAGACCACCGCACGGATGATCGGAGCTCAGAGAGCAGCAGCCACTGGAGATCGGAAG